CCGAAAGAAGGAGCGAGAAGCCCCAGAGTCAAGTGTAAAGGTGAGGGAGGCCGAAGCCAACGCGGTACCTGAGAGCGCAGCCTCACCCGCACCTGAGGAAGCAGACTCACTAGCACCTAGAGCAGCAGCCGCACCTGTACCTGGAGCAGGAGACTCACTAGCACCCAGAGCAGCAGCCTCACCAGTAGCTAGAGCAGCAGGTCCTATACCTGGGTCAGGCGGGACGCACAGGTGACCGGCACGGTCAGCACTAGTAGGCAATGCATACATGGCAGTGAGAATAGCATCATAGTCAAGAGCATATATATCTACCCTCTGCCTAAGCAACTCCACCCAGTCGGGAAGCTCAGCCTCGTCGCCAAACACGGTACGCCAGGCGTCGCTCAGACGGGCGAAGCAGCGGGACGGTGTATGACTACGTGTCCCACAAGGCTGACCAGTCCGAGTACCAGTGCGAATCACGTAAGAGCAGCGAACAGCACTGAGAGACCCTCCACTCTGAGCGTACCACTCACGAAGCTGGCGAGGCGTGAGAGACACGCGAGAGGGTCGCGGGAGCTGCATCTGGCCGCCACCACGAGTAGAAGCAGCAGGAGTGGTAGTAGGAGTAGCGACGCCACCCCTACAGCCCCAACCAGCGTACCACTCACGCAGCTGCTGGGGCGTGAGGGACTCACGCCGGCGTCGCTGGGGCTGCATTTGGCTCCGCAAGTAGAAGCAGGAGCAGGACTAGCAGCAGGGAGGCAGGCAGCTAGGCAAGCCAAAAGGCAGGCAGGCAGGCAAGCAGGCGACGCGCAGCGTGCTAGCAGGGCAAGAGCTCACCAGTGGTGGGAAGAGTAGGCTCGGCGACTCAGCGGCTCGGCAGCTCGGCGACTCGGCGGCTCGGGCGACTCGGGCGGCTCGGCGGCAAGGCGGCTCGGCAGCAACTGCAGCTCAGCAGCTCGGTGACTCGGCGGCTCGGCTGCAGGGCGGCTCGGCAGCAACTGCAGCTCAGCAGCTCAGCGACCCGGCGGCTCGGCGGCAGGGCGGCTCGGCTGCTGGGCGGCTCGGGTGCAGGGCGGCTCGGCGGTGGGGCGGCTCGGCTGCTGCAGTGGGAGATGAAGGAGGAGGAGAAGCAGGGGAGGCCACACACCTGCCACCCCTCTGCTGGCCTCTCGGAGGAGAAGAAGGAGGAGAAGGAGGAGGAGAAGCGGCCCCCCTCAGGTCGCCTCGACAGGCGACGGGAAAAGGGGGGGTGGGTGGTGGGGGCCGGTAGGTGCAGCGGCGGGGCCAGCAGGTGCAGTTGCGGGGCCGGTAGAAGGGGACGGCAGGAGCCGTCAGGAGGGGACGGCGGGGCCGTCAGGAAGGGACGGCGGGGCCGTCACGAAGGGACGGCGGGGCCGTCAGGAGGTGACCGGGCCGCGACGGGGGCAGGCGGCGGGGCCGCGTAAGGGCCTGGGCGGGGCCGCGACAGAGTCGTCGGCGGGGGCCGCGTGAAAGCCGGGGCGGGGCCGCGTAGAAGCCGGGGCGGGGCCGCGCGAGAGCAGGCGGCGGGGCCGCGAAGGAGCCGGGGCGGGGCCGCGTGAGAGCAGGCGGCGGAGCCGCGTAAGGGCCTGGGCGGGGCCGCGACAAAGCCGTCGGCGGGGCCGCGTGAAAGCCGGGGCGGGGCCGCGTAGAAGCCGGGGCGGGGCCGCGCGAGAGCAGGCGGCGGGGCCGCGAAGGAGCTGGGGCGGGGCCGCGTGAGAGCAGGCGGCGGAGCCGCGTAAGGGCCTGGGCGGGGCCGCGACAAAGCCGTCGGCGGGGCCGCGTGAAAGCCGGGGCGGGGCCGCGTGAGAGCAGGCAGCGGGGCCGCGAAGGAGCCGGGGCGGGGCCGCGTGAGAGCAGGCGGCGGGGCCGCGACAGAGAGGGCGGCGGGGCCGCGTCAGTGAAGGCGGCGGGGCCGCAGGGGAAATGGCGACCCGAGGGGTCGCTAAAAAAGATCGCGCCTCGGGGGGCGCTTCGGTGGGCCCAAAAAAAAAAACGGTCCGTAGAAGGACCCGCTCTATACCATGTGAGAATAAGCGAACAGGAATGAATGAACTAGCAGTGAAAATGAGTACAAGTAGGAAACCCTAGAATTGTGTACCCCCTATAGGCTAACCCACTGTAGCCTACACAAGCATAACATATATAATGTTTGACAGCTTCGTCGACTGTGACTGGTGTCGTTGTTCCTGCTGCTGCTGATGTTGTTGCTGCTGCCGATGTTGTCGCTGCTGCCGATGTTGTCGTCTCTGCTTCTTGTTGAATCGTTGCTAACGCTCTTGTTCGTTCTGCTTCAGGGATAGTGTGGGAGTACCAGAAACCTCCCGGGCTGAAGTCGGGGTCGAGATCCGGAGGGTGTGTCCAATCAGCAAAGTTCACAATGGCGTCGCTGTCTGCAGTGCCGAGGTCAGGAGCGAAGTCGAGGACGAAGACGTTGTTCTTCAGCACTGCTTTCCCGATGTAGAGACCGCCTCTCCCGTGGTAAAGCTTGAACTCCTGGGTCGTGCTGTCGGCTTCCAGATGAATTCCTTTCGCCATCAACTGGCTAACGCTCAGTAAGTTGTAGCCGAGTCCTTCAGTGATGAGTACCTTAGACATGTGCAGTATGACATTTGTTTCTCTTGACAGAAGCTGTACCACTCCTTGTCTTCGTGTGCGCAGGTTTTGGTTGTTGGCAACCGTGATGATCACTTCCCGTTGGAGTCGATGTTCGCGTTGTACGAAACGCCCGGACGAGCACATGTGTTGCCCGCAGCAACTGTCCAAGAACCAGGTGTCTTGGCCGGACGGTTCACTTTGAGCGATAGCGGCGTAAGTCGGATTTGGATGGAGTGATTCGCGACGAGGCGTCCTGTTGTCGAGCTCCTCTTCCAGTGAGTAATGGGGTGGTGACTCTGTTATGCAAGAGTCGGTTATCTTGACCATGCAGTTGACTATATGTCTTGCTCCTTGTGCAGGTTGTCCTGTTGAGGTCGTTGAAGCTTGAATCGTGGTTGTCGAGCTTGCTTGTGTCGAAGCAACTTGGGTGCTTGAAGGCCGCAGTTGTCGCTGTGGTGTTGTCTGTCGAGACGGGCAGTGCGTGCGTGGGTGTCCTGATGTCTTGCAGATGTGACAAAATGGAGGTACTAACTTCGGCTGCTGCTGTCGATTGTTGTAGTAGTTGTGTCGTCGCTGAGTATGGAAAGCAAACTCCGGTGCTAATGTTCTTTTCTTGTGTCTTTCTTCTTGCAGGTCCATATCCTGCTGCTCGGCGTGAATTTCTGCGCAAAGTGCCGCTTCGGAGATCCTCCCGTGTGCTCGAAGAATTGCTTTGGTGGCGCGCCACTGAGGACCGAGGCCACCGATGACGACTGTTACGAAGGCGTCTTCAGAGATTGACCCTCCACATCGAAGAAGCTTGTCGCGCAATTCGCGACATCGGCTGATATACGCCAACCCTTTTTCTCCTGGTTTCATTTCAACTGTTGTCAGCTGCGCCATTAACCTGCTCTGGTTTACACTGTCTGTTGCCTGGTACAGGTTCTTCAGATGGCCGTACGTGAGTTCCGCCGAGTTGCCGAAGTTTCGGTAAGAGCGAATGTTCTGCTGCTGGGTTGGTGTGATGTTTCTCAGTAGAATATTATACGCCATCATGGATTGATACGTATACTGCTGCTTTTCATACTGTGTCCCGTTTGCTGGATACTGCAGGGATCCGTCGAAGAAGCCGAGTATCTGCGCGCCTTCCATCATCAACTCGAATTCAAAGGACCAGGTAAAGAAGTCCTTTCCGTCGAAAGGTCTTGACGTCTGTAGTTTCAGAACATGCGCGAACTGCGACTGTACTTGTAAGGCATCCATTGGTTTGTCTTGCGCAGGTGGAGGTTGAGGCAGGAAGCTGATCGACCCGCGTTCGTACGGGGCGAAGGTGGGTTGCTGCTGTTGATTCCCTCGCGCGTATGACGACCCGTCAAGGCTCATGGGTGTCGCTCCGTTGTTGCTGTTGTGTGTCTGTGCAGGTCCCGACTGCTGGTGTTGCTCGTAGAAGGACATGAAGGAGAAAAATTTCTCCATCATGCTCTGGTCGAAGTCAGAAGGATGGTTCGTGGGGGTCTCGGTTGACGTTCCCCTTGGTCTTGCTGCCGTGCCTTCCTCTGTGTGCAGGCCAGAGGCTGGCGGTGGAGTAGGAGTAGTGCCCGAGGAGCCATTAGGGGAGCTCCTTTCCTTGTTTGTTGCCATGTCTTGTAATGATCAAAAAGGTTAGAGTTTTCCCCTGTCAGCTCATACCATGTTGGGCAGAGAAATAGCCCTTAGGATCTTTGCAGAGGAGAACTCTTGGGTAGAAACTTGTAATAGCGGAAGCGTTTAATGAGGATTGTGAACCGACCTTGCACTGGTGTGTGAGAGCAAAGTAGATTAAATTAAACAAGCAAATACAAGGATTTATATAAGAGTACAGGGAATACGAATAGATAGATAGATAACTGTATTGCTGTTGCGGTTCGATATAGTGCGACTCGGGCAACTGCTCTGTAACGAGTCAGTTGTGTGTCCTTAACTGTCGCGCTGTAATTGTCGAGTCAAAGGTCAGCGACCTTTGACTTTCTCGTAACCTCCGAGGTTGACTCGATGCTTCGATTGGGACTGCTTCGCTTGGTGCCTTGGGTTTTGGTACGACAGAAGCGCACTTAGGACTTATTGTTTCCAACACTCTTAACGCACTTTAGACACATTTCAGCAGTGGCTGGCAAGTTCTGTCTGAGCCTTGTACACAATACAATTCAGCCACTCTAAAACAATCGGGGTACAACACTATAAGGCTTAAAATAATTCCTACAACCCACACTAATATCCAGGTTTTCCAAAATAACTATAATCATAATCAGAGTCCCTAAAACTATAATATAAGCCCTGTGTGGCAGTGATGTTGTCGCGGAAGAAGCACTGAGTCTGAGACGCGCCAGAATCCAGTGCCAAAGAGAGCGACGTGTCAGCTGTAGGAACACCTGGCCTAGTAACTACACAAGCACCTTCACTGGAAATAGGAGCACTAGCAACAGACAAGGATCCCAGTCTATCGTCAACATCACCATGCATCACAGAAGCAGATCGCAATGCAGCATGCAAATCAGTCGCAGACATGTCAAACAACGTCGGACCAAGAGTACGAACTAGCGGGGCCCAGTCCGGAGCGGTGCCACCAAGGCCGAACTGTGCGCGGTAGCGATCCGTGAGCAGTGCAAAGCACTGACCCGGAGGGTGGGGACGGCCGCAGGGGCCACCTCGACGTTTCCCAGTCTGAACTGGGTACTGGCAGGGAGTAGGGGGGGGACCACGCGACGTCCAGCTGGGTGGGCCACCGATGCGACCAGTGCTTCCTGGTCCAAACGAACCCCACTGCTGCTGCGCTCCCCACTGCTCGAACTGTTGCTGCTGGCCCTGCTGCTGCTGTGGCTGCCGTTGTGGCTGTTGCTGCTGTGGCTGCTGCTGCTGTGGCTGTTGCTGTAGTGGCTGCTGCTGCAGTGGAGACTCCACCCCCCCGTAGCCAACACCTCCTCCTCCTCCACTGCCTCCGCCACCACCTCCACTCCCTCCACCTCCGCCATCACCACCCCCGCCGCCACCGCCACCTCCCCCACCTCCTTTCTTACCGCCCCTCTTGCCCTTCTTCTGGCCAGAGGCAACTGTTGCCACCTCTGTTGCCTCAGTAACAGAGGCCGAGGCCACAGAGGAGACAAGGAAAGACGGGGCACACCCTTCGAAGATAGGGGGGAGGACAGTACTACTAGCGGCAGCAAGGGAGCGGGCAAGACTCTCGACGGCAAGGAGCCTCTCCTCAAAGAGCTCAATAGTGAGAGTCATGGGATCAATGGTGAAAAAGTAATCACGAGCGGATTTGAAGCGGCCAGGTAGGCGTGTGGCGAGAAGGCACAGGGTCATGTATATGGGTGGCGGGTTCTTAGCGAGTAAGTCAGGATCAGTAGCGGCAGCACGGAACTGAGCATCGAGCGAGCGCAAGTGCAGGATCAGATCAGCCACTCTATGGAACGAAGGGAGATCGGGGAAGAGAAAGGGCAGCACGAGGCTGCCAAGGGACGCAGTGGCAGGGGTGGAATAGCGTGCAACTACAGCATCGTACAGTGCCTTGGCCGTCTCCTCTTGGCCAAAATGCACCTGCTCGGACAATGGGAGGAGGTCAATGATGGCGAGAATGGCAGCAGCGTCACGAGCCGCCCAGCGCCTGAGCTCAAGGCGAGCCAAGGCAAATGCAGTCTTATCTGCCTCTGACGGGTTGGCATCAAGGGGCTCGGGAGCAGGGGGGGCCTTTAGCTCACCAGTGACATGCTCAGACAGGGGCACGTCGTTTTCGAGCCGACTTCCGAGGTAGAGGCGGAGCTTCCGCAGCCACGATGGAAAGTCAACGGGGCGGCTCTCCGGATCGAACGACAGGACACGGGAGGTCGCCATAGTGAACGGGCAAGGCACGGGCGCTCGGGTGCGCAGAGGCCTGGGTACGGGCGGTAGGAAGCGGTGGGGTGCGACTAAGAGAGAGACCCCCGGCGGTTAGGAGCGGTTGGGCGCGGTTGGGTGCGGTGGGGTGCAGTCTAGTGCGTTGGGGTGCGGTCCAGTGCGGGGTGCGGTAGGGTACGGTTGAGAGTGGTTGAGTGCGGTCGTGAGCGAGCGGTGGGCCGAGGTTATGAGCGGCTGGGTAAGGTGGGAAGGGGTGGGGCTAGGAGGGATGGGTGGCGGCGGGTTTAGGTGCGGGGTGCGTACGGAGTGGACGGGGTGCGAGGTGCGTATGGGGTGCGCGGTGCGTACGGAGTGGACGGGGTGCGAGGTGCGTATGGGGTGCGGGGTGTTGGTTCGGACGGGGTGCGGGGTGCGGGTCGTCGGGCTACAGGGCGCGCAGGGAGGCGGGTAACGGCTTGTCGTGACTGGTAGGGGCGGGAATGGCGGGTAACGGGGGGGAAACGGCGGGTAACGGCGGGTAGTGGCGGGTAGGGGCGGGTATAGGCGGGTAACGGAGGGGAAAAGACTGGTAACGGCGGATAAGCGGGTAACGGCGCGTAACGGCGGGTAACGGAGGTTTGAGGCGGTTTCGCGTTAGTGGCGGGGCATTTGGCTGTGTGCGACAGATCAGGGTGGGGCTAGACGGGCCTGGGTAGGGTCGCGAGAGACATAGGGAGGTTCTCAACGGGCTTAATGACGGTTGCACGTTCAAACCGAGCTTAGGATCGGTCGCGACTAGCCTAGGCAGAGTTCCGACGTGCTTGGGTAGGGTCGTGACTAACCTAGGATAAATCTCGACGGGTCTAGGATGGATGGGCTCGATCCTCGGCTAGGCTAGAGGTGCGCGCAACGGGCTAGCGGGAGTTACGGGATCGCTCTAGTGAGAGGCGATGGGTGGGTTGGCCTCGCTAGGGGAAACCCAGCTCAACACCTTCGATAACAAAGTTGTTGAATGATGATCTCGAATGAAACATACAAAGGTGTAAATCACTAACCACGTGTGATATTTTTTTAGGTCCGGAATATGGGTAAAACTTTGTGTGGTTACCCTCTTTGCCAACGTCGCTGGCACTCTCTCGCAAAGGCATGGGCACTTTTAACAAGCTTCAAGTGCGAATGCCAACAATGAAAATTCTCGATTCATGAAAGCGGGTTGCATGAAAGCGTAAGATATGTGGTGGGAAGGCGTAATTATTTGATACCTAAGTGGATATGGCAGGAAAAAGACCTTAGTAGCAGTGCGTTTCCCACTAGTAGCAGCGCGATCCGCAGGCAGCAGGGCGTTTCCCGCTAGTAGCAGCGCGATTCGCAAGGAACAGCGCGTTTCTGGCTAGAAGCTCGCGATTCAGCCGCCCAAACCGCGATTTCGTTGCAGGACCCGCGATCTAGCCGCCCATCCCGTGATCTACGTGCCTAGACCACGATCTAGCCGCCCATCCCGTGATCTACGTGCCTAGACTGCGATCTTGTCAAACTTATATGCTATGGTCTATCTAGGCTGTAGTGGGGTAGACACTATAGGGTACAACATTTCTAGGTTTCCTACTTGTACCCACATTCTCCTTAGTCATTCATTCCTCGTTTCTCCACATGGTATAGAGAATGTTCCCTAGTGGGAACTTTTCCTAGGGCCCACCACTGAAAATCGAGTTTTTTTTTTTTCCTGCCCTGAGATCGAGTCGCCCCTGACCGAGGCGCGCCCTGTGTGCCGCCCTCCCCTTAGCGACCCGTCGCGCCGCCCTTAGCGGCCCCCACCCTCTCACGGCCCCTCGCGACCCTGTCGCCACCCCCTAGCGGCCCGTCGCGCCGCCCTGAGCGGCCCGTCGCGCCGCCCTGAGCGGCCCGTCGCGCCGCCCTCAGCGACCCCTTGCGGCCCCACCTCCACGGCCCTGTCGCAGCCCTCTCGCGGCCCCGTCGCCGCCCTCTCGAGGCCCCGTCACCGCCGTTCGCGGCCCCGCCGCCGCCCTCGCGGCCTCGTCGCCGCCCTCTCGCGGCCGCGTCGCCGCCCTCTCGCGGCCCCTATGCCGCCCTCTTGCGGCCTCGTCGGTGCCCTTAGCGGCCCCGTCGCCGCCCCTTGCGGCCCCGTCGCCGCCCCTTGCGGCCCCGTCGTAGCCCCTTGCGGCCTCGTCGCCGCCCTTAGCGGCCCCGTCGCCGCCCCTTGCGGCCCCGTCGCCGCCCCTTTCGGCCCCTCCCCGACCCCTTCACCGCCGAGCAGCCGAGCCGCCGAGCCGCCGGGCCGCCGAGCAGCCGATCCGCCGAGCCGCCGAGCCGCCGAGCAGCCGAGCCGCCGAGTCGCCGAAGCCGCCGTCGAGCCGCCACTACCAAGCCGCTGCCGCCGAGCCGCCATCGAGCCGCTACTGCCACTGCCGAGTCGCTGCCACCGCAGTTGAAGCCCTGTTCCTACCGGCGCGCCCCGGCCCTACCCACCCGGACTGGTGCGAGCACTCCCTGCTACACCACTGCTATCATGGCTACCCCCAGTGTCCTTACCTTTGATGCTGAGGGTCGTGCTGTTGACTTCGAGGTCTGGGTCGATGACCTACAGCTCTTCCTACAGTGCGATAGGGCAGACGGACTCTCCCTGTTCGATCTCACCTCCGGTGCCTCTCCTGCCCCGCCTGCTGATGCTGACAGCACTGTTCGCTCGCAGTGGGCCACATGCGATGCTGCTGCCCGTCTTGCTGTGCGTCGCCACTTACCGACCGCTGAGCGTGCGCACTTAAGTCAGTACAAGAGTGCTAAGACCTTGTACGACGCTGTAGTTGCACGCTACTCTTCCCCTGCCACTGCTGCTCTTAGCCGCCTCATACTGCCGTACCTGTTTCCTGACCTCGCCGCCTTTCCCACTGTCGCTGACCTCGTTACGCACCTTCGCACTAGTGACACCCGCTACCGCGCTGCGCTTCCTGCTGAGTTCTGCGCCAAGAACCCCCCCCCCCCCCATGTACATCACCCTCTACTACATAGTCACCCGGCTCCCTGACTCCCTTCGCTCGGTCAGGGACCACTTCCTCTCTGTTTGCCCCACCACACTCACCGTTGACCTCCTCGAGGAGAGCCTCCTGGCAGCTGAGAAGAGTATAGTCGCTGTAGGAGCCTCTCGAGGTGACCCGTGTGCCCCTGTCTTTGAGGGGTGCTCCCCCTCCCCCCTTTTGCCCTCTGTTGCCTCTGGTGCTGCCGTCGACTTCGTTGGCACCGAGTCGGTCGGCGCTGCGTCTGCCCCTAGCGGGCGACGCCGCACCGGCAAGGGCAAGGGGGGCAAGGGCGCTGGAGGGGCTGGCGGGGGCGGTGGAGGTGGAGGTGGAGAAGGCGGAGGGAGTGGGGGTGGTGGTGGGAGTGGTGGCGGGGGTGGGGGCTTCGGTGGCGGTGGTGGCGGCGGAGGCGGTGGGAGCGGAGGAGGAGGCGGTGGCGGCGGTGGCGGAGGTGGCGGCAGAGGAGGTGGAGCTAGTCGGGGTGGCTCTTCGCATCGGGGCGGCTTAATTGGTGGTCAGCGCCAGCAGCAGCAGCGCACTCGTGAGACCCCGTCCCCCCAGCAGCTTCGTGAGTGGTACGCTGGGCGTCAGCGCGGTGGGGGTACTGGTCCCTGTACCTACGTCCTCCGTACCGGCGACCGTGCTGGTGAGCAGTGCGGGGGATCGCACTCCACCCAGCGCTGCTTCGGCTGCCTGATGGACGCTTGGCGTCTCCACTTCCTTGACGCCACTGAGATCCTTCGCTGGGGAGAGCTGTCTTTAATCTTGACTATGATGCTATTCTTGCTCCCATGTATGCTGTGTCTACTAGTGATGAGGGTGACTGTTACCTGTGTGTTCCGCCTGACCCGGGCATTGAGGCTGCTGCTCTAGGTGGTGGTGAGGCTGCTGCTCTAGGTGCTAGTGCGTCTACTGCCCCAGGTGCTGGTGAGTCTGCTCTCTCAGGTACCACGTCGGCTCAGGCCTTACACACCTTCACCCTTGACTCGGGTGCTTCCCGCTCCTTCTTTCGAGACCGCACCACGCTTACGCCGCTTAGTCGGCCGGTTGTGGTCTCCCTGGTGGACCCCTCTGGGGGTCCTGTCCTTCCTAGCTTCTCAACTGGCTTACCGTGTCGCGCAGCCCCCTCTGGCACCCTGTCAGGTCTCTACCTCCCCTCGTTCTCTACGAACTTGGTGAGTGGTGCTGATCTACAGGATGGGGGGGTTGATCAGTTCACTCTTGCGAGTCAGCGGGTGACCCACTGTACGTGTGCTCGGACGGGCCGACACTTGGCCACGTTTACCCGTCGGCCGGGGTCGAGCCTGTAAACACTGACTACTGAGTCTCCTCCGGTTGCTGAATCTGGTCAGGTAGCTGCGTTGGGTCAGGTGTTTGCTGCAGCGTCCAGGTCTGGTCCTGAGTCTGCTCCCTGCTCGTGTCGTCTCCTGTCCCACCAGACTCTCCTTTGGCACCACCGCCTTGGTCACCCCTCCCTGCCTCGTCTCCGAGGCATGGCCTCCCGTGTCCTTGTCTCTGGTCTCCCCCGGTCCCTCCCTCCCCTCCCTCCGGGGCCTGCCCCTACCTGCATTCCTTGCGTTGAGGGGCGGCAGCGCGCCGCCCCTCACTCCTCCGAGTTTCATCCGACAGAGGCTCCGCTGCAGACTCTTCACATGGACGTGTGGGGCCCCGCCCGCGTCCGTGGCCAGGGTCACGAGCGTTACTTCTCGTTGGTAGTTGACGACTACTCGCGTTACACCATGGTGTTCCCCTTGCGCAACAAGGGTGACGTCACTGAGGTGTTGATCGACTGGATCCGCGCGGCTCGTCTCCAGCTCAGAGAGAGTTTCGGCTCGGACTTTCCTGTTCTGCGTCTGCACTCTGACAGAGGCGGGGAGTTTTCCTCTGCTCGTCTGGGAGCCTTCTGTCGTGCACAGGGCATCCGCCAGACCTTCACGCTTCCGGCCTCTCCACAACAAAATAGGATTGCTGAGTGCTGCATTGGCA